GTCTGTATGTATGTATGTATTTATGTATTTATATAAGCATAAATATATATATATATATGTGTGTGTGTGTGTATGTGTATATCCATTTTGAAATCCACATCGTAACATTGTCCTGTTAGTCGAATGCTTTCTGTGCTGATATCTTTTTTCTGACTGGTCTGGATACTGCATGTCTGTAGTGCGTAGTTGGATTCGTGACAACGGTGATTCGTATAACAAGCACAATTAAAGATTATTTGATCATAGTAATATTATTTGATCATAGTAATATTATTTGATCATAGTAATATTATTTGATCATAGTAATGTCTCCTTCTTAACTAGACCTATTTGTGATCACGGAAACGGTTCTCTCCTCCTACGTAGCGTTCACGTGAACGATATAAGAAGCGGCCTTCTTGGTTCCTGGGTACGTAGTAGGCAGCCATCTGTATGTGAGAAGTTGTTGGTTTAATACAGCGCTTGTTGATACGTATGTCAATTGAAAGCCCACCATGCAACAAGGTGTATCTAGTTGCTTACTAGATTTGATTCGCACCAATGTGTGAAATCTTGAATGGGTGCTAAAGTTTAATAGCTCTGTGGTCGCCGACAGATACAACGCAATACCAACCCGAAGTCAATTTGTGGGATGCTTTGTGTCAAGTGTGATGTGGATGGAGGACAATTGTGCCACGAATATACATATCGTATAGTGTGATGATGGAGAATATATTGGATGTGGTGTCCTTGACATGTGCGGGAGACTGTTCGCAGATTTGCCGTGTAAATTAGAGACTCTGCGGGCTGTACTACGCATATGATTTTGAGACTTTATATTGAAACGCGCTATACGAGTATAAATATACCTAGCATTCAAGAGTCATCGGGACACCAGGATTTGCCATCCACAGCACATTCTCCTCTAACACCTCTCGGGTGTCCGTTTTCCAGGACGGCGATAGTTTTGGTAGCACCTCTCAACTATCGGGGCGGGACCAGAGTGTCCACATCTTGGGCCACATTGACTGACTTTGGGGACACTTTATATCCACGCTCCATACGTTCATGCACAAGCATGCCCGTGTGAAAAATTTGGCGCTTTGTTATCAATCCAGTTCATCTGATTATGAGCGTGTTTAAGTTCAAGGTATTTGCGTTAATGTGATATAAAACACGGAACCACTAGGCTAGCATATGCTGAAAAGATAGCGATTCATAGCACTGTGCGGATCAAACAGATGTCTTTGGATTTATAGTATATCGAGTAACTCACGAGAGTATCAGTACCCCAATATAAAGACTGTACAACTATACTTCGCCTCTAATCAAATGTACGATATGTCAGTGTTAATGAGCGAACAAGTATGCTATATGTTTAATTGACAACCTTTGCCCTGGTTGTATTAGAGTGATTCTGGGAGAGGATAAGTTTTCCGTATGATTGAACGACATCCTTATTGGACGTGACTATGCGAGAGCGAAGTATGATTCATGTTTGAACGTTAACCTGTGTCCTGATTCCAATAAATGAGATTCTGACAGAATAAGTGTGCTATATAATGGAATGATATCCTTGTTGGTACCGGTTGCATTGAACGTGGCATTGAGAGAACAAGTTATTATATATTTTGGCAGCCTTTTCCCCCCCCGGTTGAATCGAACGTGCCGCATCGATTTGGATGTTCAGTTGCTACTGGACTGTCTGGGGTGGTGGTCAAGACGTCGCTTAGAGCACTTCTTGGAAGTTGTTGGAACCAAGAGACCTGAGACAGTTGTTGGCACTTATTTATTAGGAGTTAGATCCCTAAACCCCTAATAGATCAACTATTATTTATTTATTTGAATAAAATACCCCCGAAAAATTCGAACGGTTAGACTTCTTGGTTGTGTGTGGGTTGTGTGTGTTGAGTGCTCTCGTGTGGGAGCGGTTGGGGGCTGGGACTGTCACTGTGGTCTGTGGGCGTGATGGATAAATTCTTTCTATAAAATCATTAGAAAATAACTGGTTGAGACTTGGGCGGCAATCGGCATTCAACCGCGAAATTTCTTGTATTTGAAAAAATATTTATATAATCATAGTATGCACTGTTTATGTACCATAGTATATATGACAATATATCTAAGTATATGCATGCAATAGATACCTTACTACCAAACATCTATACTGACCGACCTGCTAGTTAGACTCGAACTTCGCGATTTCTACAAGGTGTGTGTAACAACCAATTTGGTATTGAATTGCGTGACTATACCGTGACTAGCAGGATTACGATACCAAGGCTGCTCTGTGAGTTAATCTAGTATACAGATAGTATATATGTGCACGATCCATTACTCTGTCGGTAATTGTACAACTAGCTTTCAGTAATATATATATATATATACATATA